AGGTTAAAGAATTAGAACAGACAACTAGTAATAAAGATATTGACTACCAAATAAACAACAATACAATAATAGTTGGTTGGAAAGATAAATTTAATGGTGGAGATCATGGTATAGATTATTACCAGGTTTATGTCAGTACACATCCACTAGGTATACAACTTTTTTGTTTCTTTTGTACATAACTTTCCTTGTAATGTTTCAAAACAGATATAGAAGTATATATCTTGTAGCCATTTCTTTGCCTTCCAATTCACATGTATATTACAATTATTGAAGAAAAACTTAGATATACGCAAGTTTTATAAAATTGCAGGTCACAATATCCATAAGAGCAACACAGAATTATCGACAGAGCAGAAATCATTCAGTATATCTGGTTTAAAGTTAGAAGAAAATAAGATATATTACAGCACAGTTTTAGCCTTTAACAAAGCTGGGTTTTGTAGCTGGAGCACAAGCGATGGCATCGAAATCGATGCTACACCACCTTCAACTGGTATAATACAAGATGGATTTGGTAAGTATAAGAGATTGTATTGGGGTAGATACTGTATATTGATAATGGCTTTTAGATTTATGTATGTTTCATTGAACCTTTTTACAATTTTCATTTTGTTTATTTCAGGTCCACACGATTCCGAATACCAATCATCTGGTACTTGGCTTGGTGCCTCGTGGTATGGTTTTTCTGATATAGGATCAGGTATTGTGAATTATTACTGGTGTGTTGGTAGACAGAATGACTCTACTACTTGTGATATACTACCATGGACTAATGTTGGTTTGAAAATAAAAAAAACTGATAAATCGCCTATAGAATTTAAATCAGGTAAATCAATGAATTTAATCTAAATGAATCGAATGCAGAAATATGATTGAAATTCCAATTTAGTGATTTTACATTCACCATTATATTCCTGTCTTGAGCTTAAAACGTAACTTCACCATTTGTACGTTACAGGAGATAAGATCTATCATAAAGTGTATGCTGTAGACGGTAGTGGTTTACAATCACAAGTTGCTGTCTCTAATGGGATTATTATTGATACTTCACCACCTGAAGCAAGTTACCTGGAATTCATTGGAGAGAATCTTATCCTCAATCCCTCATTTGAATCAATATCTGATAACACAACAACTTCTTGTAATGCTAACATCCCCGAGGATTGGTCTACCGATTCACAATCTTGTGTTAAAACTCGATCATCTCAACATTCAACAGCTCATGATGGTGATGTTTATATCACAATAACAGATCAGATTCAACAAACGATTCAAAATCTAGATACAGATTGTTCTTATCAGCTTACTGTACATGTTGGTTATCCACATGACATCTTACTATCGAATCATATGGTAGAAGGTTTTATTAGATTAGGACATGAAATAAACAGTTTTAAACTGAATCCAGATCTCTGTCAGGGTGACTGTTCTCAACTTGTCGATGTGATTCATTGGTATAAATTCACCTATATTTATCAACCAATAAATACACGAGAGAAATTAGTAATTGGTACAACAAGAAATAATATGATATTGGCTATAGATGATCTAGAACTTAGAAAAATAAATCATGTATCATTGAAAGATACCAACAATAATCATATAGTATATCACCCTACTTTTACACCTCACTGGTCTTCCTTACATTTTAACTGGTATTTTAAAGATAGTGAAAGTTCTATTGTGGAGTATCAGTGGGCTCTAGGTAAGTCATCGCTTTATGCACATTTTGATTACTTCATTGGTCAAGCTGCCTTCAGGTAGTTATTCAGAAGACTCATTAACTTCAAGAAGTAGTATCAATGTTTATGTAAAATAATTCAACAATCAAATACTTTATATTTAAACTATATTTCAGGTACAATGAAAGGTGGAACTCAGATCAGAGAATTTTCAACAACTGGTGATAGAAACCACGAGACCATTTCTAATCTACGTTTGGTTCATAACACTCGGCTATATTTCACTGTTAAAGCTCACAATGTCGCCGGACTACTATCTGTATCGCATAGCGACTTTATATTAGTGGACGCTACACCTCCTGTTGTTATTTATATACATGACGGTACAGGTACGTGACGTTACATTATATTATAGTAAACACTACACCTCCTGTTGTTATTTATTTAGTTATCATTAGAATGATTATATTATAGTAGACACCCCATCCCCATTTGTAACCCAAGAGTAATGGTATCATTATATTTGTCCTGCAGGTGAAGATGTTGATTACCAGACTCGTAAGGTTATAGCTGTCAATTGGAAAATAGAAGATCCGGAATCTGATATTGACTACTGCCTCTGGGCTATAGGTAAGCAAAGTATCTCAAGTATGAAGTGCGCGAGTGCGATCATCCAATCACCTGAGGAACTCGTCCGCACTACCAATTGTAGCCACACAAAAAGAGAAAGCATAATGACCTTCCTCTTCTGTCTGTACGTTCTAACACTATCATCCATGTTGCCTCTCCGTGTCCTGTCTACAATTTACAATTATAAGCTATAACTATATCAAGTAACCTGACACCTTACGAAGCATGTATATTAAACACCTGCTAAAACTAAATATAGAGATGAAGAAATACACCAAAGACACGGAATGTTACTATGTTTTGACAACAGAAAGGACAAAAAAAAAATTAACGAGCAATATCTTTACCGTATATAACCTAATAAGACACCATGTTATGCGCACCTCAACACATTTGTAAAAGCAATAATGCGTTGTGTTCTTTTTGAGTTTAGATTGAATTAATTCTTTTGTTCATTTATGGATGAAGGTAAACATTCCAAAACGAATCATTTCACATTTGTATCTGTTTAGGGTCTGTGAGAGGAGGAAATGATATACAGAAGTTTACTAGAATACAGAAAGATGAGAATAAAGCTAGTAAAGAATATATTGACAGAGAACCTATAAAAGTTTATTCTACTATTAGATGTTATAATAAAGCTGGTCTACAAGTAACAGTTACAACTGATGGTGTTCAACTCATTGATTCTAATAAACTTATTACTAGTAGTGGACAGATAACCCTTTTACCACAGACCACAACCCAATATCAACTATCACAATATTGTCTTTCACTACAACAGTCACTTGGTATTCAGTGGCAGTTTGATTCTAATAGCTATCAGTCTACATCAGTTATGGTGAGTTTAAGTTAGTCATAGGATAGAGTAGGATAGATGTTTATTGTATTGTTTTATAAGTTGGACTATCCACTGATGATTATCAACTAGAGAAAGAGATAGCTGATTATTGTGTTGTTTAATAGGTTGGACTATCTACTGATGATTATAAACTATAGAAAGAGATAGATGTTTATTGTATTATAGGTCGGACTATCTACTGGTGATTTTAAACTAGAGAAAGAGATAGATGATTATTGTACTGTTTTATAGGTTGGACTATCTACTGATGATTATCAACTAGAGAAAGAGATAGATGATTATTGTTTTATAGGTCGGACTATCTACTGATGATTATAAACTAGAGAAAGAGATAGATGTTTATTGTATTGTTTTATAAGTTGGACTATCTACTGATGATTATAAACTATAGAAAGAGATAGATGTTTATTGTTTTATAGGTCGGACTACCTACTGGTGATTATAAACTAGAGAAAGATATAGATGTTTATTGTTTTATAGGTTGGACTATCTACTGATGATTATAAACTATAGAAAGAGATAGATGTTTATTGTATTATAGGTCGGAATATCTACTGGTGATTATAAACTAGAGAAAGAGATAGATGATTATTGTATTGTTTTATAGGTTGGACTATCTACTGATGATTATCAACTAGAGAAAGAGATAGATGATTATTGTTTTATAGGTCGGACTATCTACTGATGATTATAAACTAGAGAAAGAGATAGATCTTTATTGTATTGTTTTATAAGTTGGACTATCTACTGATGATTATAAACTATAGAAAGAGATAGATGTTTATTGTTTTATAGGTCGGACTACCTACTGGTGATTATAAACTAGAGAAAGAGATAGATGTTTATTGTACTGTTTTATAAGTTGGACTATCTACTGATGATTATAAACTTGAGAAAGATATTGAGGATTATTGTACTGTTTTATAGGTTGGACTATCTACTGATGATTATAAACTAGAGAAAGAGATGATGATTATTGTACTGTTTTATAGGTTGGACTATCTACTGATGATTATAAACTAGAGAAAGAGATAGATGTTTATTTTATTGTTTTATAGGTTGGGCTATATACTGATGATTATAAACTACAGAAAGAGATAGATGTTTATTGTTTTATAGGTTGGACTATCATCTGGTGATTATAAACTAGAGAAAGAGATGGATGATTATTGTATTGTTTTATAGGTTGGAATATCTACTGATGATTATAAACTCGAGAAAGACATAGATGAAACTGGTATTAATTATGATGGTGTTAAATTACAAGGTTTAAAACTGAAACCAGAGACAAACTATATAGTGAATATTTCTGGTATTTTACTGGGCAGATTGAATAATTATATAAATCAGACTTTCTCTACAAATTATCAACCACCCAGTGTTAAAGGTGAGAATATTTTAGTATTAGGAATCATTGTATAGCCAAACAGTATACACAGATGTTTTTGCTCATTCGGGATCATTCAAAACATGGACTCAACCAGTTCATTAAATTTGCAAGGGTTTTAAAAAGGTAACGCATTTAAGAGGGTTTGGCTAAATTTAAAATAAAAAATTCACGTAACTTGGTTTATTCACAATAAAGTATGCATTTTAGAATTTGTTAATCGGATGACAACACAGCCGACAATTTAAAAATTTAAAAAATTTGGCGGTATTCTTAGTTGATTATGTTGGTTATGATTGTGATACACGTTTGGATTATTACATAAAAAGATGTTCCAACAATCGGAAGCTCTTATTGTAGCTTCTGAAATGAGATAATTGAAAAATATAAAGAAATATCGACAGACCTACCATGCACACCGCAATATATTCTTTTTCGTTCAATAATGTTCTATGTTTATATTCAATTGAGGGACTAGTCAAAACCCCCAAACGTGATACAATATTTATACCCTTGCAAAAATAATTGACTGATTGCTTTTATGTTTTGATGGTACCCGGATGAGCAAAATATCTGTGTTTGACTAAACATATATTATATTGTTTGATAAACTGAATTATTTTTCTGTTGTTTAATTATTTTTAACTAATTTTAAAAGAAATATAGTTTAAAACTGATAAAATTTGCCCTCTTTCTTGTCTTATTTTTGTTGAATTTAATTTGTGTCAGAAAAGACCTAAAAATCGAGATTATAGCTGCACCAAAGGCTGTCCACAAATTTGTGATCGACAATGTTTTAAAATATATTTCATAATCACAACAACTTATTAATGGTCATTTACTACACATTTTGAGTTCGGTCGTAAGATTTTCTCTAATGTTCAATTTACTAAATTCTTAGGCGAAAACGGTTCAAACAATTCATTCCCTGCGACTACATGGGGGCGTTAAATTGGAACAATCATGTTGAATAGTAAGATTTGTGTCAAATTATCTGTCCCATGCAAATAACATTTATGTAGGCTCTTAGAGAATAGACTTCGTGAATTCACGGCAAGAATATATTTTTATTACAGAAGATGGAGATATCAAAATAGCCAAAACATTAGATGGTGTAACATTAATGATATCCTGGGCAGAAATATTTGAATCATACTGGAAAGATTTAACCTATGAAGTTAGTCTGGGTACTAACCAAGGTGGTGGAGATGTTATACAGTGGCAAGAAACAAAAGATGACAGACTCCGTTTGACATTACCTAAACATTGGAAATATAAATATATATTTTTAACTCTTACTGCAGTAGATACTTGTGGTTTATTTACTACTATTCAGAAAACTATTTTATTGTAGATTTTAATTGCTTTAAGTAAATTGAGTTTAGTTTAGTTTAAAATCCTGAACCTTTCATTTCTTTCAATCTTATTATCTTCCTAATTTGTAGATTACCTCCTTTGAATTGTATTGTATGTTTAATTTTAATTTATTTTAGTAAATCGAATTTAGTCTTTTAAAATCCTGAGCCTTTCATTTTTATATCATGAACATCCTTCGATTTGTTTTCTATCAACATTAATATGTGTTATGTATGTTTTGTTTTTGTAAGATGAACCATACCATAAGTTTATCACACAGCAGCATTGTTTCCAAGCGCAAAGCGTGTTCAGGAAAACGATATGAACTGGTATCACAAGTATAGATGGACGAGGGATGTCATAAAAGAATTCCCTGGTGAATTGATTGAATCCTTTTGAACAAAATTTTTTCTTCAAATTGCGTCTAATTTTAGGATTTTTTCTTTCACGATTTTTTTTTATTTGCAATTCATTTCTCTAAATTGTCCTTTTAATTTAATAAATATATATATATAATATATATTTAATATATATATCATAAATGAGCACCGAGGGTTGATAAATGCATGGAAGAAATGGAAACAAGTTATCATCGATTGATTTCCACGTGACGATATAGTAAAATTTATGAAACCCCAAAATTATTTATACTTATCATACATTTGTCAAATTAATAATACGCTGTGTTCTATTTGAGTGAAGGTAAAATATTGGGCAACCAAGATTTGTCCAGTTTTGGAGAGATTTGTATGTTTTCAATATCTGGCAATCGATTTTGTGTCCAATATTGTTCTTTATATAGCAATATGTAATTTGTTCTGTATTGTTGTTATCCGTGACAACGCTAATTCTCTTTGATGTTTAATATTTGATAGCGATTAATTCATTTAATGCTATTAATCAAGATGAAGTGGGCAACCTAGATTTCAATGGGTGGGGAGTTTGATCGGTTGACATCATGATGTACCTCATCGTCTCACAACTCACCCATTAATTTTTATTAATTTCAACGTTGTGTTCGTTTAATTGTTTCTTACTTCTGAAATTTTTTAAAATTTTTTTTTGTTTACCATATTTATAACTGCAGTTCGATTTTGTTTCCAAATTTCTTCGTTATTTCACGCATTATGAATTGTTCTGTATTGTTGTTATCCATGACAACACTAGTTCTTATTGATGTATAATGTTTGATAGTGGTAAATTTATTTGGTTCTGTGCACAAGCTCTCAACTCTCTGGACAACAATCAATTTTGTGATTGTATATGGACGACGATTGTTTGTATTTTCATTTATTTATTAAAATTGTAAACTAAACATATGCTATTGTAACTGCTGAAAGTACAAAAGTCGTTCCAGTCATTACCAGAACATATCTTTCAAACATTGATAAAACCACTGCACCGGAAATTAAAAAAAGCATAAAGGACGGAAAGGGAATGAAGTTTAAAACTGAAAACTATAGATAAAAGCATCTAAAAAACATTTGCAATAAAATAGTCGTTGCATTGTAAAACAAAAAGAATGGGTTCCCTTATATTCATATAAAGAAAAGTAATAAATAAGTGATCAACATCTGACAAAAGCATAGAGCAGAGGTCACTATCTTTTTGTGGGGGCTACTTTACACAAATTTTTTTGTCTGATTTTTAAATATCAAAATTGTTTCCATTTTTATATACATCGAACATATAATGAAAATGCTAATACTTATATGAATAGAAAGTAGGGGTGTAATAAGTTAAAAAAAATACTAGTTTGTCTCACATGTCCATAATTAATTCATAATTAGCTAAATCGAAGAGAATTACCAGTGACCGATCAAGGAAGCCTGTTTATCCAGGCTGTACATACATTGACATATATGATTGGCTAAAACTCTTATATATATGCAATAAGAACATAATGATGGTGATAATGATATGATTAAGAATACATGATAATTCATTAGAACCACCAATTAATCAAATAGTTTGTTTAAATTGACACTGAAAAATAAGACAACATAAAGTATTTATACAGGACATGACATAAGTTCAATCGTTATATAATATAAATAGGTATACGAAATTGATAGTAGTGCCGATGAATGACTTATGTATGATAAAACCGGTGATATGTTAAGATCAATAATAAGTGTTTGTATGACAAACTGATAATATCGTAACATAAGTCGATGATTTAATAACAATATATTAAGAATAAATATAATAAAATTAATATGAAAAAAACTTAATATTAGAATTAATATAACACAATAACACAGAGATCTTTAAATGCTCGCTTTACCAGCCACATCAGTTAGAGTCTAACAACAGTCGTCGTGAAAGTTCGTCAAATTAACCTATTGACCTAACTCAATAACCAATCGAATTTCTACCCTCTCCAGTGGTGGTATTTTGTAACGCGGTGTTTATCAGGTTAGGTCAAAAGGTTAACATTACGAAGGTTCAAGAGGGCCGTAACTGAAGTGTATATATTAAAAATGAATTCTAATAAGAAAACGGAACGAAACTTTGGTCTAATTTAATTAGAAATACAAACATGTCAAAGCAAATATTAAGATTAGACGATTTAGACCTATTAACAATATTATGCTAAGAATAAATATTATGTATACACACATATTTAATTTAATAATTCAATAACATACATAAGAGGGGGAACAACTCAATAATAGCTGATAAGCCCACAACACTATATAAAAAAGGCAGAATTGTGGTTATTTCTTGAAATAGTTAGATAAGGTTCGAATTCTTCTGATAGTATTAGCGTAAGGTGTTTGATGTCTTAAAAAAGTTTTGCTTTGTTTGATTGTCGAACCGTTGTCGAATATTTTTGAATGTCCATAGTTAGTTCTCTTCAAAACCTTTTCAAACCACGATGCGGAGATCCCAAATTTTTTTGAGATTTCTTTGGGGTTACTAAGGAAGTCTATAAATTGGGCATAATTTCGATCAAACGGATTCGGTTTAGTCCAATGAAGAATGTCATGGAAATCGCATGTTTTCATCCGCAGTTTAAACTCCGTCGTAGATATTGATCCATTTGACACCTTTTGTCGTAGACCCATGATGGCTTTCATCAGAAGAGCATTTGGTGCCATGGTAGTCATGCCGATTCCACCAATACCGTATATCATGACCATATTGGCCGCTGGTGCTGACATTCGGAACACGTTCTGAGCTGTAATGCCTCTAGCACAACTTCTCACTTGAATAATATCGTACTCAATACCTTCGTCCTCCAGACAAAGTAGTGGAATGACATTAGCTTTGAATACATTCAGTCCAGTTTCAGCATGAGCATCTTTTATAGGAAAATGTCCACCACCTGTGGTTTGAAGAACAAAATATTGATACGCTTTGTCACCAACCCACACTTCTTTTTCAGCAAGTCGAACTATGTGTTTATTGTGACCGTCGATATGGTCTCTGAACCTATTCATCTTGGAATCCGGTACCACTGACTTATCGACTTTAACCATAAATACTATAGATATCCCCGCAGCAGACATTATTTTGTTCATGATATTAGATGGTCTTATTTTATTAAAAACGTTACCAGCAAGAGAACAGAGCTTTGGTTCATTAGTAAAACTAATGATAGAACGTTCGTCAATCAGACCAAGTTTCACGCTTAAGATATCTTGGGTGTGCTTGACAATTGAATATCTCGGTGGTTTTACTTTTAATTGCCTCATAGATGGCCCAAGAGACAGATATAACGATTTTATTGGTGTAGTGTGTTCTCGTCCAGTTGTGGTGTCCTTCCAGACTATTCTAGTGACGGTTGTATCGTCATTTTCAATTGGTTTGACCAGTATCTTGAGCAGTTGCATATTATCATGAACTTTGCCACCAGCGTCAGCAACCATCTCTGACATGACACCATTGATATAGTGGGGGAGGTACCCATCGTTTTCAAACACCGCTGCTTTTGTAACGAATTTTGGGTCATAACCTCTGTCCGAAATCTCTTCTTTGGTTAGAAAACGATGGTTGAGTAAATCTTCGCCGACTGTCTGGGCAATGTTATTGATGGTTTTAAGAGTCATTCCAATGTCTTTGTCACTCCCAAGATACGTATATAAAGCGTATTGTAAATGGTTGGATTTCATTATCAGAGGTTTAGGTGCGTTGAGTTCATCCAATATCTGATGAGTCAAGCTGGCGTGTCTACATGTGGTGTAAGCTGTCGAATCCTTTGCTGAATGGAGCGCCGTGCCAGGCATATACAAACCAACGTCTTTAAGAGCATTCCATTGGTTTTTCATAAATAACCATGTGACAGACGGATCTTTGAAGTAAGCTTTGAAATTAACACGAAGTTTATTCCAGCCTGGCTCACTTTGTACCTGTTTAAGATATTGTTCTGGTTGAAATTTACGTTGTAAGTAATGTTTGATAGTAATATATAGAGTATAAGCACCGTTGTTATCCGGCCAATAATACACTGGTACTGCATCTCGGATATGGAAATACGAGGCAGAACCTTTCCAATTAGAAGCTCCAACATTACCACATTGTCCATACAGGACCTTATCAACGTTTTGTCCAGAACGGGCTTGAATTGCAGCACCGGCTAAGGCAGCTGGTCCACCAATATACACGTCCATACCCTCAGCTGTTGTAAAAGAAGATGGGTTTGGATCCAATTCAATATTTACATCATTATTGTGTTTTTCCCACATCTTGAAGTCATCTTTACTGGTCTTACCAACTTTGTTCGATTGGACTATTTCTGGGAATAAGGTGGCAAAATGATTCAACGTGTCTGGATCGGCGACCAGTACATCAGCTAGTGGTTCATTTTTCATCACAAGCTTTTCTAATTCATCAATTATCTGTAACATAAAAAATTATCACAATTTTGGATAAAGTAATGTACGTACATCGGCTTGTGAAGGAATTGTCCTTCATTATTTGTTTACTTGACCTCGTGTATATCACTTTTAAGAAGAATAACTATAGCTTTGTCTAAAATCAGAGATTAAAACGTATTGTTAAGATGAAACAAATTTCAAAATTTGACTGTTTTTTTTAAGGATTGCTTATGGATTTTTGCAATATCTTGCCAGGCAAGGTAACATACGCCCACTTGCAGCTGTTCGAAATGATAATTGAGTATTTAGTGACTAAAAATAATTTTGTTTTCATTTTAAAGAATTCATAATGCATGTGTAGTTTGAATTTATTCATATATATTAATATTTACAGTCAGTTATTTATGCTGGGTTTTTCACAACATATATTTCAAAAACTGTTAATCGAAAAATCGTCAAATTCGAACTAGACTAAGATCTCATCACTATATATGATCACAACAAATTTCATTAATATCTGATAAAAACTGTAGTCTCTTTTGTCTTCACAAAAAATATACGTCCACATTTCCATGTAGGCGTATAAAAATGCTTAATCATTGGCCAGGGTTCACCGTTCTAGTTTTATGAGCCGAGAAACACTATCGTATGTAAATCTTGTATACAGTTTTAACGATTTTTTTTTCAAATCTAAGATAACAAATATTTTCAAGATGAATGTGTGAAAAATAAAAAATAGCTTACTTTATCTCCACTTCGTAACTTTACATCTTCAGAGGCATCAATATGTACAGCTTCATATTTTAACGGATCCATTTTCTAGAATCAATTTCACTGCATAATCTGAAATGAAGCAACAAAAACTAAACGGCAGCCCATTTCTGTAATGAACTGGATGAAATATAACATGCAAATGATGTACGCACCACATCAACAATATAAACCACGCGGACGCTCTCAAAGGATATGTCGCGTTTACTAAACATTTAGTATTTTTAGATAAACTGAGAGGACCGTTCAAAACAAAACCAAGATAAATCACTAAGGATGTATTCAAGTAACTGTTAATAAGCTTCTTTTCCTTGTTCTTGTCAGCCATTGTTGATTTTAATTTGTATACGCCCACATCAATATGTGGTCGTATATTGTCATCGCCCCTGTCCGTCGGTCCGTCGGTCAACATTTCTTGTGAGCACTATAGAGACTACAGTTTTTATCTGATTTTGATAAAACTTGGTGTGATGCTTTAGATTGATAAGATCTCGGTCTTCGAATTTGACATATTTTCGATGAACGGTTTTTGAGATATTGCCCTTGACTTAGAACGCCTTGAAATTTGTTAAAAATTGTTCGACAGCAGCATTGACGCTACAGTTTTCAACCGATTCTGATGAAACTTGGTGTGATCATTGGAATTGATAAGATCTCAGACAAGTTCTAACTTGACGCATTTTCGATGAACGGTTTTTGAGTTATTGCCCTTGACTTTGTTAAAATGCGTCGAAATTTGTTAAAAATAGTTTGTGAGCAGGATTGACGCTAGTTTTCAACCGATTCTGATGAAATTTGGTGTGATCATTGGAATTGATAAGATCTCGGACAAGTTCTAACTCGATGCATTTTCGATGAACCGTTTTTGAGTTATTGCCCTTGATTTTGTTAAAATGCGTCGAAATTTGTTAAAAATAGTTTGTGAGCAGGATTGACGCTACAGTTTTCAATCGATTCTGATGAAACTTGTTGTGATCATTGGAATTGATAAGATCTCGGACAAGTTCTAACTTGATGCATTTTTGATGAACGGTTTTCGAGTTATTGCCCTTGACTTTGTAAAAATGCGTCAAAATTTATTCGTGAGGACAATAGAAGCTACAGTTTTCAACCGATTCTGATGAAACTTGGTGTGATCATTGGAATTGATAAGATCTCGGACAATTTCTAACAAGAGATATTTTTGATGAACATTTTTTGAGTTATTGCCCTTGACTTTGTAAACACGCGTCAAAAGTTGTTTTTTGCCCTTGATTAGAGCTGTGTGATTTAATTGTTTGTTGTATTTGGGTTATTGATATTGATTTTAAAAAATTTTGTGGAATTATTCTTCAATATGAGAAAATTCGTACTTTAGTCACTAAAGACTGTTTTATTATTTCTGACAGCTGCCAGTGGGCGTATGTTACCTTGCAACGCAAGCTATCTTTTAACAGATTGAATCGAGCGTATCCGTGTAATAAAATCCATACAAGCAAGACTATTCCGTGCCATAACCCAACCAAAAAGGTAGTTTACTCGGATTTGTAGCAAGCTTTTTAACTTATATATATTTCCGATTCAAAACATAAACAGAACAGTCCATTAATTTTTAGGTTGCGTATGTAGTAATCATCACAATCGATGTTTAGACCTATAGTTTCAATAACTATCTATTCTACCCAAACATTTAGTGGACTGTTCGTGTTTTTACTTTGAAGCGGATCCGGATAAGCAAAATATTGTTGCCCTAGCATATACTAACTTTTACGATGATTTCCTGAAATTGATGAATGTATTTTATCATACATCTCGATATGAGATCCTGTTAAGACATAAACCAATCCTATTTTGTCTGTAATAATATGACCCCTTTTTGTTCTAATCTCAGTCGGCTTGTTGAGTTCACCATCACTTATAATTCCAGTAGACCCAGCTGTAAATCGATACGGTATCCGTACAAAATCAACGCCAAGAGGTTTGGACAAGACGCAGCTGGTAGAAAGGAACCAGAGTTATTATACTTGTAAAGTATAAGGCGTTTATATTTAAGTGAATCATATCTACACAGATCAGAGTGTGCATTTATATTGGCGAAGCGACTACAACGGTTTGCCTACAGTACACATTTATTTTAGCGATTTGCCAAAGTACTTACCCTAAATCGTCGTGGCTCACAGTGCTTTTGTACGATTGTTTGAGATTCATGATGGTGGGAAAAAGTGGAAGCTAGTAAAAAACATGTTGATAACTTTTCTTAGCTTACAAGAATAATGACAAAAATATTATTTTTTACCAGCGTATGAATTTTTAAACAAAGAGAAAGATCCGAAAAAAATTTTGTTCCATTAACATATTTTGCTGTTTATAATCAGTGTATTAGGAAGTAAACAACTCGATACCAATCCAAATCGATACAAGACATGATATTTCGGGTGGGCTGTCCTAGAATTGACGATATACGATAGACAAGTAATTTGAAAACTACTGATTGTTCAAAGTCGCTCAACTTTTAGAGCTGTAATTTGTTGACTTTTTGGATTTTATTAATTCTGATTTTGATTTTTGTCACTTTTGATTTCTGAAGTACATATTTTTTAATTTTTATTATCTTTAACTTGTTTATAGTAGTTAAATAATGAAAATATCAAAAATATAATATTCCCAAAGTAGATAAATAAATGAATGAACAAGTAGATAAATGAATAAATGAATATAGAAATAAATTAGCTAATATAGAAATAAATGAATGAATAAATTTTACCTTGTAAAATCACACGTGAAATAACCTTCTCAGCTTAGTTGTTACTCATTTAATAAAGTAATGATTTAGTCAGTCTTACAGTCTTAAATCTAGTTAAATAAGGTCGATTCCATGTATTTGATCACGTCTCGTAGTCATATATAAATCAAATTAAACCTTGGAATGAACCTCATGTCGTTTTACTTACAAGGGAAGGGCATCAGAGGGATGAATAAACTTTTCTTGTATGTTTTATCCGTTCATATTGTGATGTAAATATGAATCCCCTATATGAAGTTTATGTTGAATCTTTTTGTGCTTTACCTTGGGTTCTTAGATGAGTCGTTGTAGTATTTTCTGATAACACGTTAAGGATGACATTTTGACAAAATCAGGTTCATGTATTTTTTGTTTGCTTGAATTAGTTCGACTTTTTCTTATTTTTAGATGAAGGGTTTTTCGTTGACTTTGAGAAATGAAATGAAATGAAATGAATGGAGTTTTACTTTGACTTTGAGGAAACTATATGTGATAATGCATGATTGTGCAATATCATACGAGTTTGATTGAAGTCAGTTGATTTACAATATTGCCCTTTTCCTACCTCAATTACCGGTACGTCAAATTGACATGTGAATAGACACTATGAATTTGGTCGGATATTGAGGGAGGGAACGTGTGATTTATTGTTTTCCGACCAAACTGACTATATAGTTTAACTCAGTCATTGTTGAAATGGAGTAATAACTGTTGTGACCTTGTGATAAAAAAAAACTAGACACTTGACCCGCCGCTTCCGCTTCTTTAGACGCCGTTTCCGCCAATTTCATTTCAGCCAGAATCTGCCAGTTGTGCAAGGAAAGGTCCACCGATTTAAGTCAGTCGATATTCACCACTTGTAATCATCACAAAACCTCAGGAAGTAATAAATCCACTAAACGTGATAACTTTCATGCATGATAATTTAAAACCTTTACATTCTAATTAACATTTTGTAACTCAAATTCATCTGATTATTTTTGCTAGCCAATTCACCTAGTTAGAAACTGGCTTTTTACAAAAGTAAATCGGATCAAGGGTCGAATAAAGCTAATTTATGTTAATAGATAGAGATTGAAAATAAAAATTTTTAATTAAAAATTACACGAATTATCACCTAATTTCCACCTGGGTGAAAATTAAAGTTTTGAATTAAAAATTACACGAATTATTACCTAATTTCCACCTGGGTGAAAATTAAAGTTTTGAATTAAAAATTACACGAATTATTACTTAATTTTCACTTAGGTGAAAATTAAGGTTTTTAATTCAACAGTAATCAAGAATGGACAGTATGATTATATATTTATCAGTAAACTTACCTGGTGTCATAAAGTTACAACACAATCCCTGTAAAATCTTGAAAATTCATAAAACTAAGTAATTAATGAAAAACGCTTTTCAATATTAAGCGCTTGTCACAAGTTAATTGCATTTTTATGGCTAATTACTAAGTTTGAGGGATTTATCGGATTATATAAGGATCCTGTTATGTTATTTATGAAATCAGGTATTTCTACTGATGAATATAATATGCTCTAATGCTATGTTTAAATTTTTTTAATTTTATGTTCATTCTAATACTTAGTATTCCTTTAACAAATTATATAAATTATTTTTAAACTATTCGGTTCAACAAACGATTTAAAAGAGTTAGAAAATTTTACCCTCCGGTTTCTAAAATACAAATAAATTTAATTTATGATAGTTGGATATGGTTACTGATTGAAACCGTCTTAGCATCTTTGAATAGTAAATATTATACTATTAAAGAATTATATTGTTTTAAAATATAGCCTTGATATGTTTAGATATATTTATGAGCGCAAATATGTAACTGAAATCTATTAAATTCAAACTTGGTCATGTTTGGCAGCACCAGTTGGTCGTTACTTTCATCTGCTCTAGTTGATCAGTCGTTAGAGAATTAACAAATGAAGATATCAAACGAATATCATCACATAATTTACAATAACATGAAATATGACAGAAAATTGATATTTTTTCTAGCAATTTTTTTTTACATTTTTCTCATTCTTTTGAATTGATCGACGTTTTTGTAACGAATTTTCTAAATTATTACTCTACGATAATATAAACATTTTATTTGTTAATTTAATTTAAGATATACATCAGTAGCACCAGAATTTCTCTTACCTTGGCTGGGTAAATCACGTTGCATGCTGACAAACAAATGAGCTTACTCACTGTCGTCACTCTTTAAATATATTTATTCTGATTGAAACTCAACTTATAACAGTAGTCATCGAATAAATTGAATCGATTTATGATTGTAGTTCATTGAGCCTATTATATAGAAGGTATTTCGTATCGCCAATAGCAATAGCAACATATATCGTTCAAGGGCATTCTAAACAAATCTTTTGCTACAATTGATTGCGAAATGGTCCTAAATCAAGAAAAAAATATATATACAATCGTTCAGGAGTAACCTTTATTTTGTTTTATTTTTTTGTGTTTGAGGGAATTTGTTATTTAATAAAAAAAAAAATATTTTCCATTAGGAAATGTCTTCTAGAGTAGTGATCAATGGTCACGTGGATTGCTCAATGAACGTGGTGAAACGTAAAGCATCAGTGTTCATATTCCCACTCCCACAGCTTGTGTTCACCCAAGGATGAATTCTATCGAGATTAACTATATTGTAAAATGATTAACAAGAGTAATTGCCCATTTCTTTTAAATATGTTTTATTCTTAGTCTTCAAAAACTTTTAACAGAATTTGAAACAATTAAAACAAATGCATAACTAGAGGCTATATATCAAATGCTGGTGAAGGGTGTTCAGATTCACTGTCGAAAATTGAGCCTTCAGATCAATGTGTGGAATTTTCTGAGCTTGAGCGTTAAAATGACAACTCGTCTTTTCTTCAGACTCTGTCATATATAGAAAAGACATACATGCATATAGCGATTAAAAGTGATATTTCTAGTTTGAGGTATTTGGGTAGTATAGGGCTAGGGGGATATTATACGATCTTCGTACATTTCTAGTAGTTCTGAAGACTCTTTATATATAGTCAAAAACCAAATAAACCCCCGTAAATGGCAAATCTGTCCCTTAAACTCTTGCTCGCTAACCTGAGGGTCCAGGGTTCAATCCTGGCATAGGTCGAGATAATACCTTCGGATTTCTCAACCCGGTTTCCCCCTGTCAATAAAGTGGGTAAGAGGGACTGACATGGAAAAAGCGTCTAGTCGTTCGGATGGGACAATAAACCGAGGCCTTGTGTGCCACAGACTGTGCACGTTAAAGATCCCTCGACAGTAGAGCAGGCTAATGTCGCTGTCTTGGCAAGATTTCCCTCATTGCACCCTGCATGGTGTTGCCCGTCTTCATTAGCCCACATGGTGCAGAAAAGTAGGACGTAAAACACCATTCATTTCATTTCATTTTAACTTGCCTAACATCAAATCCCTGAGTTCCACTTCACTTATTACAGAACTAGAGTAATGACACAGAAATAAAAAAGGTTTTGCCGATCCTTTCAATTTCGAAACTACTGTGTCATTATCTCGTTAAGGGAAAGGAGGTCATTGCCCTTACAATCCACTTTATTGCACAGGAATTGTGAAGAGCTTTCCTTGCTTTTTATGTTTACCGGGGGCAAAATACGGTTATTCTAAAAATAGGCAACTGACGTCATTAGCAAACGACTGCGCCAGTGACGTAGTTACAGGACGTAACGTTTCTTATCGATATCGTCCGTAACTGCTAGTGAAATCGTTAACTGTATGAGGATTTTGGAGAAGAAAAGGAAGAAGATGAATGAATAATTTTAACCATTATCAACAGTACCAGCTTAACTACAAGTAATCATTGAAAACCGCTTTATTTTTTTTAATAACGTACGTGTAGTACGTTATAATTATTTAGGACTTAAGATTTAAGACTTCAAGGTGTTAACAGGACAGTAGTCGGAAGACAGAATGGCTAGGTTTACTTGCTTTGTGCTACATTGCAACGTGACTTAAAGAAGGCGAACTTGATTAGTGAAATACATCTTATGGCGTAGCTTTATGGAGTTTTTGATTATACAGATATATTGTTGTTCACTTATGACACCAGGAAAGTCCGCTGATGAATAAATACTCATTTTGGCCAAGTTTAAGAATTAAAATGTATGTATGATTTAAAGGTCCTACACCTTTAATAGACTAAAAGTAGAGTTCAAACCGAACATTATGACAAATATTTGAAAATCGGGCTATTCATACTAACAATTCTTGATATTTTGAATCTGACGTACAGGTCTCCATTGAAGATGCTTAAAATACCAGTATATTCTTGAACTGATATCACCAAGAAAGCGTTTGCAGTTATTAGGAACGGATCTCTATCTAAAATACTATTGATTTTAAAACTGCTGTGTCATAACCTCAGTAGAGTAGGGACGTCGTTGCCCTAAAAGTCAACGAGTTCAGGAACGGGTTCCCCCTTGTTAAAATACTATCGAATTCAGCATTGGAATACATAGATTCAAAAGTATCCAACAATTTCAATATAGCTAGTCCAAAGCTAGCTACACCAAGTTTATTGTATTGTCGAGCCATTCCACATATATATTTAAGCAATAAACTGTTACCCTATTGCGGTTATGGTCGTATATCAGGAGCCTTATTCTCCAAAATTTGAGTTAAATAGAATCCCGATTTTAAGAAATACAGTATTCTGATTGGATAACAAAACTAAATTTTAAATCAATTTTAGTGATTGAACAATCAAATGTCTGGAACACTAAAATCATTTTAAGATAAGTTTTCGAGAATAAAGACCCTGGACGCTAACGCACATTTATTCAATTTTCCAACCAACCTTTGTCCTGAAATACGGCCATAACCGCCCGCCATAGGGTAACGTTTATTGCTTATGTTTACGTTTCCAAGACATTCTAATTTTGATACAAAGACTTTAGTATGAATTTAAGTAGGGACTATTTCTTTACGATACTACTGACATGATTGTTTACATTGGAGACCGTCTATTTTGATACAGTGGCGTCATT